AATGATGTTGAGGGTATTAAACAATATATAGAGCAAGATTCTTCTTCAATAGAGGAGGTTGGGCTTTGGTATTGTCGTGAAAAGTGCTCGAACCGAATAGATGCAAAGCATAGAACTCCTTTGATGGTTGCTGCTACCTATGGCAGTGTTGATGTTGGTAAGCTTATGTTGACTCAGTCTGCGGCTGTCAACCTATCATGTGGCACAGACAAAAGTACTGCCCTTCACTGTGCTGCCTCTGGTGGATCTCTTCATGCAATTGATGTTGTTAATCTACTTTTATCAGCTGGTGCAGATCCAAATTACTCTGATGCCATTGGCCATCGACCTGCTGATGTTCTTGTAGTACATCCAAAGCTCCAAGGCATGAGAGGTGTTCTGGAAGAACTTCTTTCAGGATGTGTTTATGATAACCCTTTTGGCAAGCCGAATTTACGGATATCCATTGATAACTCTGCTTCTGGCTTGCTGACCCTTTCTTCATCACCAGAAAATGGATCACCACCCTCTACTTCGAATCTAGCATCTTTATTAATGGCTTCAAAGTTCATTGATATACCTGTTAACTCTGCAACATTGAGGAAAGAGTACCCTGTTGATCTATCTCTCCCTGATATCAAGAACAGCATTTACACAACTGATGAGTTCCGGATATTTTCATTCAAGATTCGTCCTTGTTCGAGAGCATACTCCCATGATTGGACGGAGTGCCCATTTGTTCATCCAGGAGAGAATGCACAGAGAAGGGATCCTCGTAAGTACCTCTACAGTTGTCCCTTGCCCTGATTTCAGAAAAGGAGCTTGTAGACGTGGGGATATGTGTGAATATGCTCATGGAGCTTTCGAATGTTGGCTACATCCAGCACAATATTGCACTCGGATGTGCAAGGATGGCACAAGTTGCGATAGGCGGGTATGCTTTTTTGCCCACACAGCTGAAGAACTGCGCCCACATTATGTCTCAACTGGCTCAGCTGTTGCCTCTCCACGCTCAGCTGCATCTGCTGCTAGTGTCATGGACATGGCTTCCGTTATGAGCCTTTTACCCGGTTCACCCTCATCAGTATCTTCCATATCCCCTTCACCGTTTAATCAACCCATGTCTCCATCTGCAAATGGCCTTTCACACTCATCTGCAGCTTGGCCTCAACCAAGTGTTCCAACATACTTCATCTTCCTGGTAGCAACTTTCAATCAAGTCGCCTGAGTTCCTCTCTTAGTGCTCGAGACATGCCACTTGAGGACTTTGACATGTGGCCAGAATTTGATGCCCAGGAACAGAATCTAAATTATTTATCCGACTTTTCCCAGTCTCATAACAATCCAGTGTCTATGAGTCGTTCTGAACTGTCTAGAACATTAACTCCTTCAAACCTCGAAGAGCTATTTTCAGCGAAAATCTCTTCATCTCCTAGATATGCTGACCAGCCAGTTGCTTCTGCTATATTTTCCCCAGCTCATAAATCAGCTCTCCTTAATCAATTTCAACAGCAACAGAACAAGTTATCTCCTATTAATACTAATGTTTTTGCACACAAAAGTGTCGAGCATCCACTGTTGCAGGCTTCTTTTGGTGTTGGTTCTCCTGGAAGAATGTCACCGAGACGTACTGAGCCAATCTCCCCCATGGCTGCTCACCTTTCTGCACATGCTCAGCTCGAGAAGCATCGACAACGGCTAGGCTGCCTTGACTCTAGGGAACTTGGTTCCAACAATCCTGCTTGTATTGTCGGATCTCCTGTGAATTCTTGGTCAAGTGGGGTTCACCAAATGGAAAGTTCAACTGGTCAGTTAGTACAGACGAAATGGGTCAACTACAGAGATCGTCGTCACTTGAGCTTCGTAACAGTACTGAGGAGGCCGACTTATCATGGGTCGGTCTAGTCTCTTGTAAAGGAACCCCCACTCGAGATTCCTATCGCACATGGTGCATCATCCGGTGAGGTTTCGAATGATTTAATTCCCAGATTTATTCTGTTATAGGAGCATGGATTGAGCAAATGCAACTTGATCAACTCGTAGTGTAGTGTGTAGAAAAAAAAAGATGACACTGGAAAATTGACTTGTCGTGACGGCCGATGAACTAGGCGCAGCATAAAGTGTAGGTGGAAATTTTATTCGAAATTCTTTTTAACAATTTATTGTTACAGCTGCAGCAGATTTCCTGCAAAAACAAGGTGTACGAAGCCTCAACCGGGGCTGATATTAAGCACTCACGCGCCTGTTGTTTAGGGTCCTGTACCATTTTGATGTCTCTTATTACTTCAATATTTATTTTGCTTGGATCAGTGAAGAAAGAACACTGAAGAATAGCTAAGGTGATTGCTCTGTTATATGATTTATAAGTTATGCAATTTACTAGAAGATGCAGTTTATGGAATCATATTACTTAATGCATTTCCATCAGATGATGTAAAAACCTGCCTTGTTCTTCTCAATTTTCGATGATTGCATGATTAAACTGAATTTCAGGTATAGTTACTGAATTTCGTATTTGAGAAGTTGCGTGAATTAATTTTTTTTATTAAGTTAAAGGTGATTGTAAAGTAATATTTATGCTAAGTATTTTTAATCATTTGACACATGAATCTAAGATATGATAAAATATGATCTTAGATTTTTCTGTTAAAAATTGGTTGTTTAAGTTAGATGTAATCCTATTGATTGAGATATGATAAAATCTGATTATAGAATCGTTCGAGGCTTTGAGTTATATTTTATGAATTGACTCTTCGTTTAGATTATGTCGTCGAGTCAGTATTTAAAACATTATAGTGTCGAACTAGTGCTTGAAAGTAACAATGATGTTATAAAACATCATTAAAATATGATTTTATCATATCTTGATTAATATGTTAATATTTAAATAAGATAACCGTTAATATTTTAACTAAAATTGATGAATTTAAAATATATAAATAATTTGATGATTATTTTATAACTTTTAATAATTTAATAAAATAATATATAGTCGGGAAGTACATTTGTATTCCTATCCTGAAAGGTACGTGGGTTGGTCTTTAATGGCAGATGGAATTAGACAAGAAATGATATCGACGTTGATATGTGTAGGGCCATGGACGTCGATGGTCGGTTAGGACTTAAGGTTAAGGGTTCAATGGTTTGGTTCAAAGTATCATCAAATGTATCTCATATGAAACATACCTCCGCCACCCAATTGTTCTCATATGAACGGCGAGATCAAAAGTCGAGGGGGTCATGATATAAACCTCCAGGTACACTTAAGTATACGGAATGTAAGATTACTAATGAGAATGTAAGATTATTAATGGGAATATAAGATTATCAGGGAATAAGATTATTGAGAATATTGTATTTTGTGTTTGGTTAGTTTAGCAGGAATATAAAATTATCATGTTTAGTTAAAGGAATAAAAGATTATTGGAATGTATATTTGACCAAATTGTCCTTATTATATATTTGTTTTTTTTAACAAGTTGAAAAATATTTATATATTTTCTTTTAAAAAATTAAATTCATATATATTTATTTACAAAACTGAAAATATAAAAATGTTTAATGAAAGAGTAAAATTTTATTTTAACCCCTGAACTTCATATAAAATTTTAATTATAGATTTTTCTTGTAAATCTAAAATAGTTTAAGGATAAATTTGTAATTTAACATTCGTAGAATTTTTATTATTCAATGAAAAAAGAGGATATTTTTGAAAAATTTTAAGGGCATTTTAATCCAAAACGCCAGTAATCCAACAATACCTAAGGAAAGGGAGGTAATGGCATTCCCAGTAATATACCTAAAAAATTTACTATTGATAATATTACATTATCGAAAATGAAATTTTTGACTAACCAAACGAGAAAGGTGGATTTCATTCCCATGAAATCTCACGTTCCCATTCAAACGCCCCCCCAAGTATCAGAGGTGTTCCGGAGTAGGAGCTGCAACGCTACTGATTCGGATCAGCTCCGAAAAATCTTTAAACGGAGTATTGAACCATAAATATATATATTGCATAGTAAAAGCTTGAGTTTTGGATCAGCGGTAGGGTACGAGAAACATATCTAAAGTGGCCATCTGGGTTAACAAAACTGGAATTGGATCAGCCAATGATTCAAAGAGCACGGCTGCTACGGTTGAGAACCACAACATTTTCACCGGAGTCTGAATCACCGTTCTTGGTTGCCCCGGCAAGTACCTGCTCTCTTCGAGAAATCTCATAACGGCTCCTCTCAGTGGCCTTGCACCGTAGCTTGGGTCATATGCACCCTAACAACACGAACCACTTTGAGAGACTTAGGAACATACTGTGCTCAGGAAGTTGCTCAGCTTCGATGTAATTGTCTTGAGGGTGTTATTTTCTTGGACAATAAAGAGAAGGGGGTTGCATATGTTGAAATTTGTATTTCAGATACATTATGCAGGAATCAGTTAAATGGTCTGTCCAAAAATAATTAAATAATTCTTTAAAATTTGATTCATCAATTAATTCAATTTGAAACACATTAATTAATTATAACTGTAATATATATCTAATATAATTTTAGATTTAAGTTTAAATTCCATCAATGATCTATAATATTTAAAATCTAATGTTTACATTTTAATTCTAATATTAAGTCCACAGAGATTAAAAATTAGAAATAGAGATTATCTAACAAAAGAAATTCAGTTTTATTTATTGTTACTTGAATTATTATTTCAAATCAAAATTAAAAGATATTAGACAAAATTGATTAACAGTAAACGTAACAACAAATCATAAAAGTATTATAAAATAAAACAATAATCTAAAAAAAAAGAAGAGGAAATGTAAAAGTAATATCTACTAGGCAAAATTAGGAGAAAATGGTGATAAAAATTGGGGAAATAATGTTTGTAGAAAATTATTTACGGCATTAAAATATTTTCTACAACTGGTGTTGATAGTTACTATCGACGATTTTATTTTATTTATTTTTTAGATGCATAAACCACAATATAAATTATAATAATAAAACCCATCATTTCAATTTCTTAAAGTAAAGCCAAAATCCGAGATGGGTAATCAAAATTTCCCATCTGAAAAATAAAAATCGTTTAGGGAGTTAATCCCCTAAAATCTGAATTATTAATGAAATTTTGCCGGAAATAAATTTCTCGAGTCGAGCTTTTCATCGCCATCTTTAAAACCTAAAACAAACACAACAAAAGAAGAGTTGGTATACCCCAAAATTAAGCACTTCCAGATCCATACTTCTTTCCGAAAACGATGAGCTGCAACTTGTCGTATCCGGCGAGCACACCGGCACCGGCAATAGCACGAAGAATGTTAGCGCCTGCACCTTTAAACAGAGACTTGGCACCCTCATTCTTCAAGATCTGAGAAAATGCATCAAGCGAGCTCTTGTATTTGACGGCTTCTCCAGACGTCATCATCATTCTTCTACGAACAGTGTCGATTGGGTACGATGCAAGGCCAGCACCATTGGTGATGAGCCAACCGAGGGCAAAGCTAGCAAAGAAACTATCCTGTAATCATCAGAGAGATGTCATTGCAAAATAACAGCAGGGAGAATTATGATCAATGAAACAGTGGTAACATGACATAGCTTTAAACATCATACTGACCTGCATACTTCCGGTCAAAACAACCGGCTTCAGAGAGTCGTACATTCCGAAGTATAGACCGCGGTACACAATGATTCCAACACATGAGATGTTGAAACCACGGTAAAGACCGGCAATACCATCGGATTTCAAGGTCTTCCTGTAGACATCAACAAGACCATTGAATTGCCTCTCTCCTCCCTTCTTTGCAGCCTTTGCATCATTGGCAAGACGGGTTCTAGCATAATCCAAGGAGTAGACAAAGAGAAGGGAAGAAGCACCGGCTGCACCTCCAGATGCCAAGTTTCCAGCAAACCATTTCCAGTAACCATCTTTGTCTTTCTTAAAGTTGAAAAGCCTCTTGAAGTAATCCTTGAAAGCAAAGTTCAAGGCCTGTTGCAAAATGAACAAGGCAATAAGCATAAAACATGTAGAAATAAATGTAATTGAACAATGAATTAAAATTACAACAGCTAACCTGAGTGGGGAAATAACGAATAACATTGGCAGTGTTTCCTCTCCACAAAGAACCAAATCCTTCATCCTGGATCGTTCGCTTGAAACAATCACCAATACCCTTGTAGGGTTCAGCAAGCCTACCAGTTTTGATCATTTCGTCTTGGTTCTGAATCAAAAGCTTAACACGCTCAATTGGAGCAGCAGCAGTTTTAGATACGGCAGCAGACACTCCACCCATGAGGAAATCAATAGCAAAGCTGGTAAATCCTTTCTCGGCAGGGGCTTGAACACAGATAGCAGATGCTGCTGATGGAACCACAGAGAGGTCATACTGCAGGGCAGCATTGGAGTAATTACCATATGGAACACGCCTTTGGGACAGAGCAGGCCTGCTGAAAGACCCACCATAACCTTGAAAATTTTGAGAATGGCTAGAATGAAGGAGCTGACCAGCTACCTTCTGCATGATGGACGGGTGTTGAACTTGATCCATTCTGATGCAAGAAAACCAAACACGTGAACATACATAGAGAATACAATGTAGCAATGCAGAATACTAATTATCAAATGAAGCAAAATCATCTAAAACATGGTAATGGTTCAATCCATCATTAATAATCAACAATGAAACAAAGTCGGATATATGATCAAGGACAGAAAAATAATATAACCAAGATTTCAGCAAACATCAGGCAGAGCCGCGGAGGCATAGTTATTCCTAAAAAGCATAAGCAAAAGGTGCATCTCGGTAAACTAAGAGGATCTTGCAGGAGTGACACACCTCAGCAAGAACAAAGCATCACTATATGTAAAATCAGAGAACAAACCGGTATCCTAAAACAATCATAGATACAGGAAAATAAACATCAAATGAATTTTAAACAGAAAGCGTCTAATAAAAACAATATAACAGACTAAACAATCAACTAAAACGCACTGCATGTATAAGCATAACAAAATCTTTCACATATATAGGTATGGATTCAAGTATGCACGTATTTCAGTATGAGGTAAAAAATTTCAGCAGATATAATTCAACATTACAAATAAATAAACATAAATATTGCCTCGTTATGCTTAAGCTTGTTAGAAAAAAAAAAGTAAAAGAAAAGCAGTGGATCTGAGAATTTCAACAGCATATGAGCAGTAAGTACCAATAGATCTAATAAATCAAGCGTAAACATTTACGAAAACAACACATTCGCGATGTATCAGATCAAACGTAAGCAAAAAATAAAGGAAAATCAGTTCAAAGCATTTCACAATTTCTCCACAGATCAACCGCAGCAGGAAACAATCAGATCTAATAGTAATAACAACGATAATGATGAAGAAGAACCTCTGACAGGATAATAACAATATAGATCAAAATAGAACAGTGATGAACTAGAACATATCTGATACTTGTGTAAAACAGTTTACTTGATTTGAATTTTTGGAGAGAAATTTTTACCTTTGAAAAGAGCGTGATTGGTTGGCGTGAAAAACTGTTGGAGGTCTCAGCGCCAATCTCTCTGCGTCGGGAGAGAGGGAGAGGGAGAGAGAGAGAGAGAGAAAGATTCCTTTGATCTTTTTTGTTAAGAGAAAGAGAGGAGAGAGAGAGTGAGGGGCCGTCCTGCCATTTTTTGGGACTATAAATATTAAAATAATTGGAGAGAGAGAGAGAGAGAGAGAGACTAGGGTAAGGAGGGCACGCCGCTCACGTCACGCGCGGATATGACGGTAACGAAGCAAGGTGGGATAATATTTTACTTTTGGCATAATGTCAAATTTAGTCGCCAATGTTTAATAAAATAATATTTGAGTCCTTATTTTTTTTAGCATTTAGACCATGTTACAATTCATTTTAGAGTTTAGAATGTTAATATTTTCTAGCTGACAATTTTCATTTATATAGGAGAATTTTTTTCCCAAATTAAATGTTGTGGATCAAAATACTTAAAAAAATGATGACTAAAATAATTATTTTGATAAATTGATTTTTAGGTAAAAAAACTAACAACGTGATAATGAAATAATCAAAGTAAAATAATAATAATAGTTTAAAGAATAAATTAATATATAACAAATCAAATATTAATAGTTAAAAAAAAAAGTCTATGGTTGACTATGGGATGGATGGGTCCGGGGACTTATTTATTTGGCAGCTTCAAAACGTGATTGCTCTTCTTCGGTCCACAATTTTAGTAAGAATTAGCGACTCCGGTCTATGAAAGCCACCTGTGGAGAAAGCTGAGGAAAGTTCTCTTCAAATTAGTTACGCTTGCGATGTTTATTTGATTTCTTGATTTCGGCCGTTTATTTTATTTTCATTCTTTATATATACATATATGTATATATATATATATGGAACTAGAATGAATTGTAGGATATTGAAGAAGACGTAGGTGAAACCATCATCGTTAGCAGAAATTTTAGCAAGGGCATCAATGACAGTTTGTTTTACGACGAATAAAAAGAAACTTCATTATTTAAGGTTTTGAAGTCAGACAAAAGATGATATAAACAATATTAAACTGACCACTTAAAATTATATAAAGATCGTACAAGGAAAAAAATTAAACACCTAACAAAAAACTCGAATGAAAGATAAATTGTAACACTCTTAGATCGATAAGGGTGACCTGATCTGATTTGGAGTGTCACATTAGGGTCACCGAAGCGACCCAGACTGAAAATCCTAAAAAAATTAAATTTTTTATTAATCCGTTAAAAATTGTAAAATAATTTATAAATAAAATACAAGTTCAGAAAAATCATTTATATATTAAAAATAGAATTCAACAATATCCAATAATAAAACAAGTTTTAGACTCGAATTTAAAAATAGAATACAACCTACATTCCCCATAATTACATGCATAGTACTCCACAAGCAACGCCGGTGAAACTCCTTTATTGATGATGGTAAAAGCACATGATCAAATTCTTTAACCTGAAATGGTAAGTAACAGAGTGAGCTTTGGAAAGCTCAGTAATACAGAACTACCAGATGAATGCAATAGGCCATCGAGTATAAGGTAATGCATAAATTTTCTTAATGATACAAATATCATCAGATTCTAGCGACGAGTTCATATTTCCTTAATTATTTCTTCGGTAACCATCCAGAAATCATAATCTGAAGGAAATATTCAGAAAGACAGATTCAGGAGATTGAGATGAGGAGTCTAATGTGTTTCAACAAAATCAGAGAAAGTGTACATATGTTTTAAAACAACAACAGTTTAAAAGATATTTTTAGGACCACATTAATACCCTCCAACCGAATACAGATATGCAATTCCCCAGAACTGCATCCATAAGGACTTACCCTAGGCCTATTGGGCGTAGTTGTCAGCCTAAGGGATTATATTGTGCTTAAGAGCCTACCCAATAGTGTACCTTGGGGCCTAAGAGCCTACCCAAGGGAATACCTTAGAGGCCTTAGAGCCTACCCAAGTATCACCTTAGGTCCATAAGGATTTACCAGCTTGATCAGAGCTGAATCTCCATACTCCATAATCCTACCCAGACAATATCCTAATAAATTGGTTCATACAGTAACCAGTAATTTCCATGATCCATAAATCAAGCATAATTATATTTTTTTTAGTGAAAACAGATAACCAGATAGTACATATCATGTAGCCATAGTTCATAAACAAAAAATCAATACATTAGTAAGTCAGAATATCGAACTGTTAAAATATTTAATATATTAGTAAATTCGATGAATCACAATTCAGAACAAATAACACAATCATATAACACATAGGGAACACACTGGAGGATCTAGTTATTTTTTGAGGTACTTGGTATTTATCAGGTAGGGAACCATAAAATTTCTGCAAACTGATTGAATTTCAGAACGAGTTCCATATAAAATGGAGGTTTGATAGCTAACGGATTCATCAGTCATTCAAGAAGTGATTTATCAAGATCATAATATTCAGATATATTAGCAAGGGATTCCGGAATAATTGTATCAAAATTTATTTAGAATTCGAACATTCATAAAGTGATTCCATAAATCAAGTTTATAAGAGCATTTTAGTCATTTAATTCCTGAGAAATTTGATAAATCAATTTAATCAATGTATGCAGCGATTTACAGAATTCTAGATTTCAAGCATCTTAATAGGTTTTCAATTCCAATCGCGTTGTACAAATTCCCAGCAAAGGTGACACTTATCAATTATGTAGGTAGAGAAACTTCACGAATATTCATTTATTAGAACTGGGTACACTGCAGAATCGAACTGATCACCTTCAGAACCATCTTTGGATGGATCATGAGGAGACAAATATGTATTTAAGCCGTATTTATTTACTTCTCGTATTGTAATAGTATTATGGATGGTCGACCTACTTAGGTCGTACTCCATAAACCTCAAAGGCGTTACAATATTTAAAGATTCACTGATATCTTCCGAAGTTATCCAAAGGCATTTGCTTAATCCAAGTCATGAGGATATTCAAATTATTCTAGTATTCAAGGTAGATTCATTCATTCCAGAGCTTAAGGGTATTCAATCATTTCAGGGCTTGTGGGTATTTTAGGTTATTTTACACTTCAGGGATATTTTTGTCATTTTACAACTCAAGGGTATTTCACTCATTTACTTCTGTCCAATATTTCCATTTAATTCAAACTTGTCATTTATTTCAGTTATTTCAAACAATTCTGACAATAATGGCACTTCTGATAAGTTAGTATTCAGGTGTTTGCTCATAAAACATAAATTCTAGGTCAAGTGATTTCTCAAAGGAACGAACTAATTCTAAATTCTTTTCAAACAAATCAAGAATTTAATAGGTGAATTAGTAATATATAAGATTAAATACGAATTCTCAGGATACTTTCACTATCATTGTCAATTCGGGTCATTTTTTCTTCTCAATGGTAATTTCGTAATTTATTAATCGATATTAAAACTTTTAACGAAGATAAATAAAAGTTTAAGATTATGAGGTTAATTGTTTTTCTGGATAATCATTAAACTTGAAATTATTTTTATCAGTTTTCTAGTGTCTTATACGTATAATCTGAGTCTTATTTAGTTTAATACTTTATATAGCATACAGATTAAGTTTAGAAATATTAACTACACTCATGTGACCAAACATAATCATTCATGCATTAACAAACACCAACATGAGAAACTTCACGAATATTCATTTATTAGAACTGGGTACACTGCAGAATCGAACTGATCACCTTCAGAACCATCTTTGGATGGATCATGAGGAGACAAATATGTATTTAAGCCGTATTTATTTACTTCCCGTATTGTAATAGTATTATGGATGGTCGACCTACTTAGGTCGTACTCTATAAACCTCAAAGGCGTTACAATATTTAAAGATTCACCGATATCTTCCGAAGTTATCCAAAGGCATTTGCTTAATCCAAGTCATGAGGATATTAAAATTATTCTAGTATTCAAGGTAGATTCATTCATTCCAGAGCTTATGGGTATTCAATCATTTCAGGGCTTGTGGGTATTTTAGGTCATTTTACACTTCAGGGATATTTTTGTCATTTTACAACTCAAGGGTATTTCACTCATTTACTTCTGTCCAATATTTCCATTTAACTCAAACTTGTCATTTATTTCAGTTATTTCAAACAATTCTGACAATAATGGCACTTCTGATAAGTTAGTATTCAGGTGTTTGCTCATAAAACATAAATTCTAGGTCTAGTGATTTCTCAAAGGAACGAACTAATTCTAAATTCTTTTCAAACAAATCAAGAATTTAATAGGTGAATTAGTAATATATAAGATTAAATACGAATTCTCAGGATACTTTCACTATCATGGTCAATTCGGGTCATTTTTTCTTCACAATGGTAATTTCGTAATTTATTAATCGATATTAAAACTTTTAATGAAGATAAATAAAAGTTTAAGATTATGAGGTTAATTGTTTTTCTGGATAATCATTAAACTTGAAATTATTTTTATCAGTTTTCTAGTGTCTTATACGTATAATCTGAGTCTTATTTAGTTTAATACTTTATATAGCATACAGATTGAGTTTAGAAATATTAACTACACTCATGTGACCAAACATAATCATTCATGCATTAATAAACACCAACATGTTCCATAAAGTACTCAAATGGTAATAATGTATTACCTCAATTTTTGAGCTACACCGATCGAACATTTAAACTCTATTCAATCGCTCTCAACTTGAATCCAACGTCCAATAATATCTCGGATACATATCAACAGAAATTACATCAGAAATGAAGCTTAATTGTGAAAATGGATCAAATCAAGAGGTTAATCAGTGAAAAACATATTATCAAGTTTGAATTTGGCAAAATGAACCTCAAAAACATATTATATACATCGAAAAACATAAAATATGACTTTTTGAAAAAAAAAATTAACTTTTTAGTCAAAGGCAACGGTCAAAAGGGTCAACATGTTTTGAGTCAACTCAGTTTGGGTCTGCTGGCCCAGATCTGCTGGTTCAGGCCCATCAGTTTGGCTAATGGATTTGGATCACACCAACACTTTAGCCCAAACCCAAAC